ATACATAGACATAGATGATTAATAGCTAAATATGGAGGTGATAGATATAGATGATAAATAGATAGATAGATAGATAGATAGATAGATAGATAGATAGATAGATATAGATGATAGATAGGATGGATGATGGGTGTATGGATAGTTAGATGGATGCATGGAAGAATGGATGGATGGATGATGGATGGATACATAGATAAATATAGAGACATAGACATAGATGATTAATAGCTAAATATAGAGTTGATAGATAGATAGATAGATAAGAGAATGGATGGATGGATGAATAGATGATAGAGAGATATAGAGATAGGTAGATAGGTAGAAAGAATGGATGGATAAATAGAAGATGGATAGAGATAGGATGGATAGATAGAGATAGGATGGGTTGATAGACAAATAAATAGATGCTGTAGTTAGATGGGTGATGGGTGGATGGGTGATGGATAGATAGATGATGATTGATAGATGATGGAGACATTGGCTCCCTGTATCTCTAGCTCTTCCTCAGGTTCCTGTCATCACAAGATAGTCTACGTGATGCCAAAAGAGAATTTAACCAAAACTAAATAAATACTTTGTGAGAGAGGCAGAGTTCGTGTTGATAAAGGTAGGGTCCCTCAAACTTGTACGCGACCAACAATGTGGGTTCTGAATACACAAAGCAAAACATAAATAAATAAATATGGCAGCGAACATCAGTTGGTTGCTACCGGCTCACTGCCACATATTTTGCAAAGACGGGGACCTCCTTAAAGCTACCCTGGATCCGTCTCTCTTAAGACAGTTCTGGCCCTAGCTGGTGTGGCTCAGTGGATAGAGCGTCAGCTTGCAGACCAATGGGTCCAGGGTTCGATTCCCGGTCAAGGCCACGTACCTCGATTGCCGGCTCCTCCCCCAGCCAGGACTCTGGTCCCGGTTCGTGCAGGAGGCAACCAATCCATGTGTCTCTCTCTCTCTCATCGATATTTCTCCCTGTCTGTCCATCTCCCTGGCTTCCAATCTCTCTAGGATGAGAGAGAATCATGGATCAGCTGCCTCCTGCACGCCCCCTACCGGGGATCGAGCCCACAACCCGGGCCTGTGCCCTTGACCGGGAATCGAACCCGTGACCTGCTGGCTCCTAGATCCACACACAACCACCGAGCCACCCGAGCCGGGTGTCTCCAGGTTTCTTGGCAAACGTCTCTTCCAGGGCTGTTCTCTCGCGGGTATTTGACGAGGTCGTCGAGGTCAATCTGATGGACAGCGCCGACCACGTCCACCTGGCCTTCCTGAAGAGGCCCGAGCTCGGGGTCACGCTCACCAAACTC